CGTGTGCTGAGGATCCCCTGGAAAAAATCCTGGGTGGTGCTGTGGGTCTGGTGTCTCCCACAGCTCAGACTCAGCAGAAGGGCTCTTGGGGCAGGAGCTGGTTGGCATTCATTAAAGGGCTGGCTCACAGCAGCGCTGTGTCCCAGTGCCAGTGCCAGGTCTCACTGGCCATGCCGCTCCAGCCCCTGCTGTGCTCACTGGTAGCAAGGGGTCAGCAGGAGGCTGCTGGCACATGTCGTCTCAGAGGACAAAGCTTGTCTCTGTCCCCTGCAGACTGTGCCACTCCGATCTCCCCCCCTCCAGCAGCAGGTCAGGGTGGCACAGGAGCCATCTGTCCTCCTTTGCCCTGCTACCAGAGGATTTGCCTTTGCTTGGAGGAGTAGCAAAAGCCTCTTGCCAAGGGTTAATCTCCAAACTCCTAAGGGAATGGCTAAAGTCCTTACCTGACGTGTAGCTTACCTCCCACGGTGGCTGAGGGCTAGGAAACAGCTCTAGTGCAAGGAGCAAGAGATAGGCAAGACCAAAGGGCACTGGCAAGGCAGGGCTCCTGGTGGCCCAGAGTGATGTTTGCGTCTTCCCTGGCTTGAAGGGGTTTGGCTTGACCAGCCCCAGGGTAACAGCACGAGGGGACAAGGTTGGGGGCCATGGGAGCCCAGTGCTATTGGCAGCGGGGCTGCACCTCTGGATGTAGCTGCCTCTAAGCTGGCTGGTGGGTGTTTCTAGCCCAGTCCTCAGTGGGATCAACCTCTCTCCTCTGTCTGCTGCTAAGTTAACAAGGCCATGTTTTGGGCTTGTTTCAGGGTAAGCAGGGAGAGCATCCAGGCAGGAGGCACTAATTGCCCAGCAAGATCTGGGGATGGGCGGGCAGATGCTGGGAGAGCAGGCTAGTGGCTGTGGTGGCCCCAGACGGCTGGTTCCCTACCTGCACCCCAAGCAGTGCCAGGTTGCTCAACTGCCAAACATCATCCCCTACGATGAGATGCACCAACATTGATGTCCAGCAGATCTAGGGTTTAAAAAGCCATACCAGCCTGGCAGTCATGGCCAAACTTTCTTCACAGGAAGTCTTGTGGTGTCCCAGTTGCTCATCTTGGAGATACTGCCTTTTTCCCTGACAAGTGGTGAGGAGGGGAGTGAGAAACCTCCAGACCCCAAGGCTGCAGTGAGGAGCCCAAGGTCTACCAGAGCTATGCTGCATCTCTGTTCTAGGGATCTGAGCCTGGTTTTGGGGTGGTTTTGTGGCTTTTTTCTTTTCTTGACCCTGCTGCATCAATGATCTGTTATGTGACCTAGAAAATAAAATTATCTCCTTCAAATGGAAAGACAAAGGAACAGCTTAAGGCTCCTGCTCCCTCTATCTAGGGAGCACCAGGCAGATGGACACTGTGTAATACACCAAGGTGGTGAGACGCGCTCTGTGCCAAAGGACTTGCAGGCAGTATCCAGGCTCAGTGAGACCTGGCACAACACAGCAATTGTGTTTTAAACCCCACTGCTTTCAGAGTCACTAGTGTAGCTACCCCCTGGAGTGCCTGCCCACTGGTGCAGTCCCCACACAGAGACCCCTTAGTGCCTCCAGGATACCAGGGGACAGAGCCACCCCACTGCTCTTCTGGCAGAGCAGCTCTTTGAGACCAGGGCAAAACATCTCTGATTTTTCTTCCACATAGCCAGCAAGCGCCTGCCCAAGAGCATAGGTGCTGTGTCTGTACGGGCTCAGTCCAATTTGCGGTGCACAAGCAGGGAAGCTGTGATGACACTTTTCAAAAGCCATCGGGTTTGAGATCTGTTCTGCAATCACAGTCTGGTTTTTTTCATGGTCTCTATAAAGAGAAGGACAAGCAGTGCGTTAGCACGGAATGCGAGACCTGGTTGGGTTTCCCGCTCTGCCTGAGGCTTTCTGTCTGACCATGATGAAGTTGCTTTAATTTTCTATCTTTAAAATGAAGATGGTATCTCAGTGCCCTAAAGAGGGTAAGACAGTGTGCTGGTGAGGGCTGCATGCATATCAAAGAGTGCTCTTTAACTACGGTTAGGGTGGGAAGGCTGTGAAAAGTAGGTTTCTACACATCGGTTTGCCAAGATCTCTCCTGTTACTGCATCAGCCTCCCTCTTTTGAAGTGCTTTTTTCTCCAAGTTGGGTCTCATAGAAGGGAAAGCCTGCAGCTGTGTCTTGTCTTGAACCCCATGTACAAAGCCAGGGCTTGCTCTCATCCAAAGGACTGTCTGGCTTCATGGCTAGGATTTATTTAAATTGCTGTAGAGTGCAACTTGGCTACTTAGCAACAAAAATGTACACTTAAAAGAACTGACTGCATTAGCTTAAATAAATTTAAACTTAAAAGTTGCTCAGTGCAGACAACAGTCTTGCTATAGCTTGCAAAGAAGAGGCCTTCCTCTCTCCTATTTGTTTTTTATGCTGTAGCTGATATGACAGCTACTGGGATTTCCCTCAGCCTGACAGGTGACAGAGATGTCATATCTATTCTTGGCGATGTGACACACACTTTTTTTTTTTAAAACATGTAAACACTGATATGCGCTGAACACTTTCCAGCTTGAACTTGGTCTTCAGGGCTTCAGAACAGGGTAGAGGAAGCTGGTTTCAGCTCCAGCAGCACAGCTCCTATGTCCTTTAACTCCCTGAGGTGCTCCTGGGTGCCTTTGGATCCAATAGTCCTGTCTGGCTGCAGCATGCGTCCCCCTTCTCTTCCCAGTACTACACGGGGTAATGGCCAAAGCTGGGGAAGGTCTGACACAACCAAATCTCCCCCTGGATGGCTCATGGCAGTTGGGTTGCAGCCTGGTCTCTGCCCACAGCAGTGGGGACAGGTCAGGAAGGCGTGGTGTTGTAGGATGGGCTTACACCGCCTAGGCGCTGGGCAGGTAACACTTTTACTGCCCGGCGCTGGGGATTAGTGGCTTTCAGGGCATGGCTCTGGTTTAATTTTGTAAGCAGCAGGGAAAGGGGGAATCTGTCATATAAGTGCAGACAACCAGAAGCCACCTCCTGTGTTGTGTGTAAAATCAGTCTGTTTAGGAATTGCCAATATGGTTCTCAGTCTGCCCACGGTCAGGTTAATGAGAAAAGTCAGTACTGAGAGCTGCAGGGCAAACAGGCTCTGCCTCTTGCTGGAGAGTCACTGTGGTTACTGTGCTGGGAACAGAACAATACAGAGACACATGACTGCTGGGCTAAGGCATCTGCAATGAACAGCCGGTGTATCATGCTGGGCAGGAAGCCATAGACCAAAGTTTATAAAGCTTTATTAAACACTTTGAACAGCTGTGCAATGAACAAACAATACTCTGGAAGTTTCACAACCTCATAGCTTGAACTTCCTTGGGACAGCAACAGCCACTTCTGCTACTCTCCACCATGAGACTGAAGTAAAGACAAACAAATGGCAAAAGGGAGGGAACCCTTTAAAGTTTAGAGACGGTGTTTTCTGTTAACCTCTAAGGTGTCTTGCAAACCAACCTCTGCCTCAGGTTGGGCTGCCCAAGAGCCACAGCTGTACAGAGTAATATATGCAGTGTGGAGCTCTGCAAAGCTGTGGCTGTAGGACTGACCCACCACCACCTAGGCTTCCTGACATCCTTCTGCCAGGGCAGATGGAAACACCAGGAGCTCCTCTAGCCTCCTCTCTTCTTCAGTCAGTAGCATCAGCACCTTCTGTCACCCCTGGCTCAAAAACACTGTCACTGAAAATGGCTGAAGCATCTACTGCTTCAAGCCATGCCTCCACCTCGGGATCCTCTCCTGCCCTGCCCACACCTGGCTTTTTGGGCTAGCATGAGTTTTATAGGGTGAGGTTCACAGTGGCTTTCAAAACCCCACATCTTGCAGCATACCAGTTCTTTATCCCAACAGTCAATACCTTGGTAAACCCTGGAAATCTAGGAGGAAGGGAAGAGACAGTCGCTACTACCCGTGAGGCTTTATAAAAGCAGCAGCATAACTGAGGCTTTCAGGCTATTATCTCAGAGCATAAATCGTTCAGAAAGCACTTCAGCAGTGCACGCATCTCTTTGGCAGGCTGAGCAGGAGGAGATGACTCAACTGCCTCTGGCTCCAGCTGCTTTTGGCCAACTGCATCCGAGCTGTTGAGCTTGCCTTTGATCAGCAAGGCGGGAAGGGTGGCTCCCCACAAAGAGAAAGATGGAGAGGATCTTCAAGCTACTCAAGCAGAATCAGTGGGCCGAGAGCCCCAAGGCTAACGCAGACAAGTGAGTGACACACAACTCCACCACCGCGCAACAGCTGGGCAGAGGCCAGCAGCTCGGTCCTCATTTAGGAGGGCTGGTGTCCCTTCCCGGTGATACGGGAAGGAAAAAAAAAAAAAGATTTCTGCTTCTAAAAAAGCAGGTGGCGCTGCCAGAGTTCACACAGTAAACAAGTCAAATTTCACAGGCAGAGTGGCAGGAACTTAACCACTCTAGTCCACACAAAGTTACAGGAAACAGGCTGTTTTTACTTGAGTCACATGCCTAACACCCCCTCCCTCCTCCCTAGCCCACCCCCTTTTTAAAAGCAAAAAAAGAGCCCTCAGCAGGCTGGAAGATTATTGTTTTCTAGGTGCCCACTACGCTGGGATCGTGAGCTGATTCCGGCAACTGAGATCCTGTGCAGTGATACAAGAAGCAGTTCCCCCAGCAGCTGTAGCAGATGAGGAATAGAGCTGCCAGGAAGACCAAGGCACAAATTGTGCAAGGTTTCCGTTCCAGGAGGAAACTGAGCAGGTAGAAGCCCATGAACATTGAGTGACTGAACCACAATGCTGGGTTGAGGGGCTTGGGTATGAGCAGGACAGGTAGCAACCACTGAAGGCAGTACATTGTGGCTGGCTGGCTGGGCCTTGTGGCAGCAAGCAGTCAGATGTGTTCCAGAACAGTCTCCAGGAACTCTTCTGGCAGGCAGGTGGTCAGGCTGTTCTGCAGGGAGGGGTAAAATGTCAGACTGTCAGAGAAACACAGCAAAAAGATAACAGACATTCCTCCCATAGAACTTCATTTACTCCCAAGCATTGTATGCTGATGCTAGAACTCCTAATACTAAATTGTGGTGCGTCTCAGAGCTGGTGGAAACTCCTGCTTTCTGAACCACTTAGCTGAGGACGTGATTTATCTGTTGCTGGTGTAGAAGCATATCCCTTGTGTGCTCTTTTTCTCAGGCTTTTACCAGGCTAACATTTGCGAGACCCTTTTCTTTAGCACAGTGCAGGAATGGAAAGGGAGAGCAGAAAACAGAAAGGAAAACAAGCTGCCGCAGCCTTCCCTACATCCAAGACTATCCAAAGACTTGAGTGATGGTATAAAGAAATGCAACTGAGGGGTAAACTTAGGTGCTACGAAGAAGTCTTAAGGAACTGTTAGTGCAAGAAGTGTCTAGGAAGCCTTAAGCGCACAAACTGCTTCCTCCACAGGCACAGACCCATTATAAAGTCTTACAACAGGACAACGTAAAATTCAAGCTATGTGTGTAGCTACACAGGAAAGCCCTGACAGTGTCCAGGCTACAAAACAAAGGGGAGGACGGTCCCTGCTTAAGGGATTTATAATCCTTGCCAATCAGCTAAAGTCAGATAAGACAAAGTATGTGAATAGATCAAAGAGGGGACAGTCTCAAAATGGCAATTTTCATAAGTGCTGTAAACGCAGGATTTCTTCTTTACAGGATTATTACAAAACCCTGTGGAAACAGTGACCTTTAAGGGCTTCTCTAACCAGGGACGGCAGCACGCTACAAGTCCACAAAACAAGCTTCTACCTTTAGCAACCACATCATCTACACTAAGTGTGTGGGGGTTGTTTTTTTTTCTTTCTAAGCAGTTCAAATATCTTCATCCAAGAATTCCACATGGCTTTAAAAATAATAAATGCCTTACAGGTGTTTTTACAGAGCTGGAACTATTGAAAGGGGACAGAATAATGGAGTTTAGCAGTCTGGGATAGCAATAGCAGGTCAGGTTAGAAGGTATCAATACTGTTGGGAGGGAGTAACTGCAACATTTCCTTCAGTTCATGCAGTAGGGAAACTATGAGAAGGGGGTACATCAAGGCTCCTAATTTATTATCCCAACAGGCAAAACCATGCAGGAGAATGATGGAAAAGGGAAGAGCTTGGGAAGCATGCTCTTCCCTGCTATCCTGTAGCACATCATGATGACACGCAGTGACATTGAACAAAGAAGCTGCCAGCCAGGGCACAGAAAGACAGGTGAGAGGACAGCCTTGCAGAATGCCATGGCCTCACCCCCACTAAGCAGACCCTGGTAAGAACAGCTTCTTGCAGCAATCCTTTTATCTGAAAATACTCAACTGAGTAGTGCTCTGTCAGAAGGATGAAAGGCTGAGCCAAGCCTGTTAAGATTACAACTGGGGGGTGGGAAGGTTAGTAGGATGAAGGAGTGAGAAGATAAACAAACAGCACATTCCTCTGGCTCCTGTTGGCAGGAGAAGGGATTTCCTGGTGAAGGGAGGGAGAATGAGGGATTGCACAGAAAGGCAAAGAGAAAACCACACGTGGTTCTCTTCAAAAAAAAAAAAAAAAAAAAAACCAACCAACCAAACCCCAGACTGAGGTCAGACTTGTCTTACAGCTCTGTAAGCTCATAGGTACCAACCAGCTCTGTTGTCAGAAGCAAGAAGCATGCTGCCATTCACTGTTCTTAGTAGCAGGATCTATTTTAGTGTTGGTGAGAGAGAATGCAGGCCAAAATCTCCATGAGGGCAAACAGGTTAAGAGTATTCAGTTAGTAAAACTAAGCTGCAGTTAGGCAGCCAAAGCATAAGGAAGAAGTTATTTTACATTGCAAAATGGATAAAGTCAAGTGAAAGGAATAACACTCCCGGTGTTAGTCCTGTTTTATGCAAGTCACTCACTCTTATCTTTAAAGGCAAATCTAGTCCCAAGCCTGTTTCCCCCATCTATAAACTGGAACTAAGGATTATTTATTTCATAACAAAACATGCTGTCTGCTAGCCTTTGTGAATTGCTTAGATGCTTCTGGAGTAAAAGTACTGCAGAAGTATTTGATGACTTTCTTCCAAGGGGAAGACTGGAAAGAAAAGATTTAACAACTACTTGAACAGAAAGGTTATTAATCCCACCACCCAACTTTTTAGTTCAGATTGCATTTAATATAACAAAGTTTTACTAAATCAATGATCTGCAGCCACTTTAATCCTCCTGCAATGTTCCTTCCTTGAAGCTTCCTATAGTCTTTCGCTACCAAATGCTCCCAACACTGAGCAGTACAAATCACTGCATAAACATCATGTCACACTTTTGCTAGATCCAGCCCTGAAATCACATCAGTTTGACTTCTGCAGCTGGACACATGCTGCAGTCTTTGGGTCACCCCTTCTTGCAGCTTTCAAGCACCTACAGACAACTGCTTTGGGCTTTCTGTCACTAGAGTAAAGAAATGGATAAAAACCAACCTAAGACAATGTATCTGTCAGAAGAGCACAAGGCTGGAACAAAGCTCTAGAATCTTTCAGGACTGATGTCATAAATCTTTCAAGGCCACATGTTGCTATTGAGCCTTTAGCCCCCAAACTTTACAACTGACTACAGATTAAGAGTATAGTGACATAGCTGCATTTAACTCCATGGTCTGGCCTCCTCACCATGGCCAAGACTTAAGTGATAATGCTCGAACAGTGAGTTGATTCTGAGCATGTAAGCATTACTTAAACACCTCCTACAAACACAAATCCATCTCGGAACAAGCTACCTGTTTTTAAATATTGGTATTTCCTGGAAGAGCCAGTTGCCTGTAGTAATCAATGCAACCATTCTGCAGAATAAAGAACCATTTAATAGTGGTTATTTTTACTATGAAGTTTCAATGCCAATGCCCTTCAATCTGCAAGCCTCCTGGACTTCTAAAAAATGCAGACGTTTGAACACTTAGTCTTGTGTCTGTAGTCAGCTTGATTGTATTTTCATGTGCCTCTTCGCTATCCACCAGTTAAAGGTGGAAGACCCTTTGCTGTATCCCACAGCTGATCCTAGATAAGGTACCTACTACTAGAGACTTCTGCAGCTCTATCTTCCTCAAGGGACTTTCCACTAGTAAGATAGATCTCTTCCTAGCTCTTCACTGGACATTCCCTTATACAGCTGACAATGAGACTCAGTTCTCTTTCCACACTATTGATCAAAGAGAAACAGCATCTCCTGCTATCAACTCTTTACTGAGCAGGGAACTATCACTCTCCTTGGTGCCCAGGATAGGCAGTCCTTTCTTGAAGCCATAACAATATTCAGTTTTGCCTAGATTCTCAAGCAGGGTGAAACTTGCAAATGAAAAATTCCTATCTCATTGTCTTTGTCCCTTCCTCGTGATCCAAGCTAAAGATTACCATGTCCCTGAGCAAATAAGAACCTCTCACCCAATGGTATTTCTACCAGCTGCTTGTTTCACAACCGCATCCTGCTTTTCCTCAATTAGTTGCTCTTGTTCTCCCCTGCCTGATTCATCTCTTTCCTTAGCCAGCCTGATGTCCTGCTATCCTCAAGACTGCTCTCGTGCTCCTGGTCAAGTCAGCTGACCTGGCGGCCACTCATGTTTACCAGACGGCTCGTTTTCAAAGCACCACCACTGCCTCCTCTTGCTCCTCCGCAGCTCTTAGAGCCACTTGAACTTGCTTCAGACACCTCAGCAGCAGCAAGCAGGCAGTGCTCCCACTGCTCTCCCCACAGTCAGGGCTTGGCAATTCTGATCTCCATGTGCTGCCAGAGCCTCCTCCCTGCCAGTTCCTGCAGGCAGGGGAGCAGCCTGGGGAGGTTCCCTGCACACCTCATTAGTAAACAAACACCAATACTTTTCCACATGCTTATTAATCACCTTCCATCATGTTCACAGCCCTTCCCTCTGCCATCTTCCCTCTGCCATCTTCCCTCCCAAGACCATTCAAAACCAGCAGGTCTGACTAGCACACGTCTGTGGGGAGGATTTTGATTCCAGTGCAAGGGTAGCGGCATACCTTTCCTGGCCAGAAACAAAACTTTAATTATAAGTCAAAAGTGAGTAGCACAGTGCAAGTCTGTAGTGCTCTGCAATTGATCAGTCACATTTTAGAACAAATCCATTTGAAGAGCTATGAAGCTGTTCCTTGATATTCTATAAGCTAATTCAGCAATTAAGAGGCCGAGAGGTGTTCCTACACCATAGGTTTTATGCATCAGTATACTAACACCAAGTCTGTACCTTTCTCAATAATGTCTTAATTCTTAACAATCCATTTACCCTGACAGGGGAGAATAATTATCTGGCTTTCACTAAGCACTTAAAAGCTAAGCTTGTTCAGACCTTACTAAGGCAGCTATCAAGCCAGTACTGTCCACAAGGAACTTTGCCAGCAGATGCTACAGAAACAGTCACCCAGGCTGGCAGCCGAAAGGTCTGCAATAAAAGACTGAGTAACCTTTTTATTGGGGGGGGGTTTTTCAATCTCCCCCCTTCCCAGAAGCCAAAGTTTCTGCTTGGGAATGAAAAGCCACATTGTCCACATAAAAGGCTCTCAAGTTACACAGTGCACATAAAGTTAGAGTAAGCCTCAGGGACTTGCACTGAGTTTCTTACCTATAAGGCTCACCTGTAGTACAGTTTGCTTAAAACTGTTTAAATCAAAAACCCTGTCACAGCCATGTAACTTGAACTGATGTGTGTGGGCAGCACTTCATGCTGCCAGCATGTGTTCAAAACCAACTCTCAAAATACTACGTAGCACCCAAAACGGCTGCTAAAAATACACAATATCCAAAGCATTGGGGGGGGGGGGGGGGGGAGGGGGGAAAAACAAGGGACGAGCAACAGCAAACCAGCTTT